AACAAGACCTAAGCCACTTCCACCCCCAGTACGTGAACTGCTGTGTAAGAAAATCAGTGCAATTATTTTGTAGTTACTGGGGCATGCAAATCAACTATTACAAAATTAAGTAAGATGCTGTAATAAACGGGAGACAGGCTAGATTACTTCAAATAAGATCTGTGAATCAAAGAACACGTCCAAAGATCATGTTAGGGTTAGATTAGAAAGTGGGATTTAAAGGGTGCAGTAAAACAGTGGGATGACCCAGCACATGAAAGGAATATAGAATGTAGGTGAACTCTACAAAAAGTGTCCTATGTCAGGGAAGTGACCCCAAATCCAGGGCAGCAATTACAGCTGACCTGTAGCTGATGAGCTGCTTTGTGTCTTGAAAGACTAGAAAAATGTACGTAAAATCATCTCTTGCCTGTTTGATCAAAACCAGGAAAGTGGCCTCATTCATAACTCAGAATTAATTTTAACTGCTCCTCCTTCCTTCTCCAAAGAAGGCTTATGTAGCCTTCTACAGACCCTAAGTAATACTTGTTATTTAAATAAGAGGTTTTTCTAAGTTTAACTTGCATAATCACTTTCAGTTCCAGAAGCCTTCATATGGTTATTTTTGCCTGTCTTTATTTAATTCCAGGTTTTCACATGGATCTTCTAAAAGCATTTTCTAACCCCCCTATGGAAACCATGGTCTTGCAAATTAAAATCCAGAAAGAAACTTCATTGTTCGGTGTTGTACAGTGGCAGGTCACGCTGATGCCTTTCTAAGTGCGTTTCTTTCATCAATTTAATTTTAAAAGAACGTTTCTGATATCTTGGTGTATGAAGCCAGTGCTGATGTACCGTCAGCAGTTAGAGATGGTGGAACCCCCGGACAAAGCTGCTATTGCTCTGCCAAAGAAAACAAAACTAAGGTAGGAATTGCTCCTGGCACTCTGATCTAGGTATACATTACTGCAACAGCAAGAGTGTAACACTAAAAAGCAAAGTATTTTTACAGGGATTTAAACACTGGCAGAGGGGTGGCAGATCTGGAAGCTGCTGCAATACAAATCTGAGCTGGGAAGCACTATGTAAGGCTGTACAATTAATAAGTTGTACTGAAGTCCAATCTGGAAATGAAATTGGAGTTTTCAGTATTTTAAGTTTCACCTTACTCAGTTTCATTTCCTTTGCCCTAAGAAATTGTAAAAAAATACTTTTTTCTTCCTAATTAATTATTACTGAGTTACTAATCACCTTAGTTAAAATTAACTCAAACTAATGGATGGCACTAAGCTGTATGGACTATTAAAGCTCTACCTAAAAGCTTTAAGTGGTGCATTCCTTTATGCAAGGATGATTTTTTTCCTTCAGGACCTAGCCTGTAAAAACAGTGTCAGTCTGACAAGGAACTCCAACACCAAATACCTACCAGCCTTCTTTCATAGGGAAACACATGCCTCAATTTTAAATTTAAATATAAACCAAATTTAAATCTAAAATAACATAAACCCACTAATTTTGTGGACTGTATTAAAAACTCAAAGCTTTATCATTTGCCTGCTGTACTACAGGAGTAAATAGGTCTTGCTTGTTTTAGAAATGAGCGGTTTGCTTACTAATACTGCTGCACAAAATTGACAAGGCATAGTGAAGTTCAAGTAATGTATTAATTTACATTGCATTCCAAATATTATTTTCAAATCAATGTGATTGTTTATACGGTTACCAGTGATCCTTCAGTTTCATTGACCATTTATACTGATCGTTGTTACTGACCGCTAGCTCAAAGCAAGCACAAAAGATGTCCTGAAGTCCATGACAGAAGGTGAAGTCTCCTTGCATGTGCTAACATATTAATCTCATCCTGAGAATATTTTTACAGCCTAGGTTCTGCAAGCCTTGAGCATGGGAAATTCTTCAGCATCAGTCCCAGAGGTCGCTGCTCATTTGACAGCTCCCATGGTAGCATCACTGCTGAAGATTAGGAGGTGAGAAAGGTCTAGTTCCTACCTGGGCTTTACTCATGGATTAGGTACTGTGGTATGAATTGTTTTGGTGGATGACTCAAGGTTAAGACTTGAGATGTGGATCACTTGTGAGGCTTGGGCTGGGTGGGGAAGGCAGAACAGATTACCTGCCTGGACTCTGAAATTTTCAGCTTTGCTGTCTTGCATTGCATGGTATCCTCTAAGTAGCTCTGGAGCTAGATTAACATGGACCAAGTTCCCCAGAGTTGCACAGTTGCGTTTGCAAGCCAAGCTGTTGAAGTGTGCTTGTGTAGGAGACTTTACTTGCTGACTCTGTTAACTTGAAGGGAGGTGTCTGCTTGAGGAGGTTACTATTGTACTACGGAAACCTCACCCTTGCTAATCAAAATCCCAAAGAAACTTCATTGTTTAGTGTAGTGTTGTCATGGTAACTGTGATTCCGAGTGTATTTACTTCATAAAAAGTAACACAGCATTTCTGCTAATGTGACTATATGGGATTAATGGTGACCTATAATGAGCAGTTAGTGGTAGTAAGTCTGGAAAGTGCTGCTAAGAAAAGGGAAACTAAGGCATGAATTGCTTCTGCCACTATGATGTAGGGGTATACTGCAGCAGCAAGAGCTTCACACTAAAAAAGCAAAGTAATGTCCAGTGTTATCTACCCAAGGCAGGCAGAAATGTCATACTATACTTCATAGATTGTATACTGCTTTATAAAACAGCTGTTTGTGAGGCTGTAAAAGTTAATGAAAACTGTAAAAGACTCAAAATCTGCACATCAGCTGTGTATTGTATATCATGTTGTCTCCAAACTTAACAAGATTTTAAAAACTTCATGAACAAGCTCACTAGCAACATGTTCCACTTTTTTTGCCTTCTAATAGAACCTGATCTGCCACATTCGTTTAAAACCAGACAATTAGGAAAGGATTACTAGTTGGGGTATTCTAGGTTGATGGCTATCATAATTTCATGATGACATGAAAATGTCTGTATTTGTAAACTGCGGTTTCTAATCATATTTGAGGAGCTTTAGACTATGACCTGTGTAAAACCAATGCAGTAGCATCTGTTCGAATTTGCACACACAACACTCCCCCCCCTCAAATTGCTGAAAGCTAACTATTCTGCTGATTGCAAAGGGATGTTAACTCCTAGCCCAATTACACCACACTATCTGCATCACTTCACACGAGGTGCTGCACAAAAAGATGCTGCACTTGGTGCCAGGGTCTCTTCTAACTTCCAATTTGCTTTCCTTGATGATGGCAGGAGATCAGCTGCCCACGAGGAGGTAAACCTCCTGTTGCTGGCCCTACCACGTTGAAAGAGAAGGATCTAGCACTACAACCACCACCAAAGGGTAAAAGTTACCAGGAAGCTCTTCCCACATTGCAAATGTGAAAGCATCTAGATATAGTATGCTTGTTATTTGCTTGTAATTTTCAAGACAAAACATGCTGGCCCATAGTACCATCCATAAAATGGTGCTTGAGCCCTTCAGACTTAAGTAGCTGTGGCAGGACTTTGGGAGCTTTCAGAAGCAACGTATTTATCAAGTCGGCTTGCCAATTTGTCTTTCCACTTTTAAGAGCATTTTCTTTTCACAACCTGTTTTCCCCTTCCAATCTATTTTAATTCTTCAGGAGCATACTCCCTGCCTCTCATAGAGGGCAAACAGCTGAAAATTCCTTCTCTCTCAATATGAGTATATATATATTTGAAATGTCGAAATGTCATAAAACAAAGGAGATTTTCAACCTTCAAATATTACAATTCATCATTGTGAAATTACTTCAGTTTTAAGTAATTAAAAAAAAACCAAACAATGAGGGCTAGCTGTAAGGGATTAATGATCCATGATCATCAGCATGAGCAGAAGTGGAAACTGGGAAATGTATATGCATCAGTGATTTATGTTTGACTACCTTCTGTTGGACCTAAATTATCTATTTGAGTATGCTGCTGATCCATTTCAGAGCCTGAAGAACTGGTTTCTTTGCACGGAAACAAAAATGTGAGGATTGGAAGAGAAAATTATTGTAATTTCGATATACTTGACCCTACATAGCACTGAGGCTTGCAGCTGAAAAAGGCAACCAGAAAGTGCTCCCAGGTCCCATAGTGCAGATCCAGCATTATGTCTTCGGTGGGCAAGAACATTACGTTAGTATTATAATATGAAATGTATAGATACAAATGAAAACCAGAAAGTACAACTTTTACAAAATATTATTCTGAATCACTGTATGTATATACATTATACACATTATACATGGATTTTATATGTCACATATGTCTCCAAATTTAGACACAACAGTTCAAGCAATGTCTTTCTGTTATTCTTGTGTTTTCAATTGTGAGTCATTCGTGCATCTGTATTGTATTATTATTCTGGATTAAAGAAGAAATTAGGTACAGGATCTTGTTTAACAAACTATACTAAATACAGTGCCAGTCCAATTTAGATTTTTCCAAAGGGCTGGGGCAGAGAGGCATTATTTAGAAATTCACCAGGCCAAGGCTGAAGATTTGCCAAGTAAAATAGCTGTATAACAAAGGCTAGAGTGTATCATGAGAATACTCTTTAGATTTATAATAGTTACATGATGTGCTTATGGTTTTTTTTTAAAGGAGAAACAATTACACAAATCAAACATTTCATTCTTTTTAGTCCCATGGTGCTTGTATTGCAAATAAGGAGGGGTGCTGGAAGTGGAAAATATTCTGTTTGACTTTTTTTTTTACAGAAAAATTCCTTTTCAAAATGAAGGTTATACAACTTCTGTAATTTTGAAAAATAGAGATGAAGACGAGTTGAAGACAGTTTGGTCCCTGAGTAAATATCTCGAAAATGACGAAAATCTATACAGTTGTTCCCAAGGCCACCTTTCCCCACCACTATCAGCAGACAGTTATTGTTGAGTTGTAGGCACAAGCCATCACCAGCAAAGCATAATCCTTAAATTGGCTCATCATCATTCCAGTTCAGGCCAGGGCTTTCACGAAAGGGCTCCTCCTGTTATATACCATTGAAATGAATGTAAAACTGTCTGCCTTTCTTTTGGTTATGGACCTGCTTATGCTCCATGTCTTGTACATCAAAAAGCTTTCAATCAGTGTAGAAACCCTGTAACAAAGATGGATTATCATGATACATAATCCTTTCATAACAAAGTGGGACATTTAGTCGGTCTGTTGTTTGCAAGAAGTGGCTGACTGCCCGTTTCCTTGAGTTTCTGTCCACTTTGAGGTGTCAGTAATGCTGGAGCAGAGAGGTGATGAGCAGCTCCTTTCAGCTGATGAAAGTTGTTAATATAGCTGGCAATCAGTAGAGTGATCTCAAGAATCTATAACAGGAACATACAAAACTCTTTGAAAAATACAGTGATGTGTTTTGACTGCTGAAAAAATAGCTAACTTTTTAGCAAGTGACAATCACCATCAACTGGAAAAGTACTTGTACTTTATCAAACAAATTAATGATGGGGAGAGAGGAGATGCTTAATAGAGCTTTTTTCTATTGCTCCTTGCCAATAATGTAATGTTATTCCCATCAGTATGCTGGATACTTTGTCTTCCACAGTCTTCAATGATTCAAACAGATGGTTTCTTTCACTTGGAGAGAGATTTTGAAGTCCAAAAGATGCCGCTCTTAGAAAAAACTTTCATGATGTGTTCCTTCAATTTTGTTAGCAAATACCTAGTGCTCAGAGAGCTTTACTAAAGACGCAGGGTAGATAAAAGGAATAAAGACTTCTGGGAGCTTTTTACCATATTTTCTCTTTGCAATCCACACAACCTTGCCTATAAGGGCACGATCTGATGGAAACTTGGAACAGCTGTATTTTACTATGCTTATTTGTATGAAGAGTCGTATTTTGACCCAAATTTATATGTGCTATTTTGTATTCTGTTTCATAAATTGTTCTAACAGCAAAAGACTTCCAAATCTTTGCTTTTTAAAAAAAATGTAGTCAATCTTACCAGTGAAGGAGAGAATCTGGATTTAAAAAGCACGAAGAGTTTCTTTACCAAAGGTAAAAATATCCTAGGATTCTTAAGAAGCGACTGATCTTTCAGATCTTGTGTTCTAGAATTCCACTGTAGAACACAAAGGTACCTTCTTAAAAATTATCTCTGGTGCTGATCAAGCAAACAGACTACTTTTTAGTACTGCATATACTTCCTGTCCTTAACAGCCACCTTTGTCTTTCTGTGAAAAATGTGGAATGCTATAGACAGGGACATGAAAAGAAAAGGAACACATCAGTATTGTCACTGTTAGGTCTTATATTACTAACTGTTTCGCTCTCTAAAACCATCTGGCAAAAGTCAATAATCTGAGAATGCTAGGAATACAGAAGGTGTTTCATCTTTCACATCTGTTAAGTATTACCCGCTAGAAAAAGTACAAAAGTAGCAGATGGTGGGAAACTATTTCAGGTAATATACCAACCTTTGGTTTTGTCATGGCAAAAAGGTGTTTTTCAGTTGATTTGTCCTTTGTCTGAGCATTGTTAACAACCAACATAAAATCATCTTGATAACCTCCGAAAGTCATCACACTCTTATATGTATATGTAACTGTTAATCGCTTAAAAAAGAAAACAGAAAAAAAACAAAACACAAAGCTATAAGCAGGACAATGAAGGAAAAGCAGAGTATGACAAATACTTCTTTTAAAAATATAATTACATGTGTATTTTTCAAAACGTTGTTGTTAGCCTCTTAGGAATCTTGAAATTAATTGTAGATTTTGGAATAGCTTCATTCAGACCTTCACTATGAGGAATTTCCATTGCAGATGGTAACTCTTGTAAGTTTGACCTCTGTTTCTATTCCAGATTAATTAGATCAAAGATATTATAAGCAGGTTTCAACTCAAGTGTGTAATTCAATTTACACAAGTCTTGACTGACTTTGAGAGAAGGTAATCTTAGAAATTCCATCTGAAATCGAAGCAGTGTCTAAACAAATTAAATGGCAGAGTATGAGACATCTAAAGGAATTTAATTCCAGGACTTCTTTTTGTGCAGTGATGTAGTTTACATACACACAAATGAAATTAAATTCTGTTCTCTTCTTTTCACATCTCTGATGAAACATAAATGCTCTTCAAGGCTCCTCTGCTTTCCATGCCTCAGCTCTTATTGTTCAGTGTTCCACAAAACACCACACCAGTGGCCTTTGAGTCTATGATTAGCATTTAATTTATCATTACGACTCATATTAATGTGCTGCAGATGTCCACATTTAAAATTCATCGGGAGATAGTATCTGTACAATAACTGACTTAATGTCCATCGGTTACTAAACCTCTCTTTGCTCTGATTTTGAAATAATGTTTTCTCTAACTAGCCCTTGCAACATAATTTCTGATATCCTTGATCCTTCCTACAGAAAATATGAATATTCCCTGGAAACTGAGAGTTTCTTGAACGGCAAGTAAGGCCTGCCAATATTGTAAACTGGCAGTGCTCTGCAGAAATGCCATAACTAGCTCTACGAGTAGATAGTGTTCATAGAGCTTTCTGCAGTCTGATGCAAGCTCATTTTGCTTGTTCCTTGAGCAGAGCTGCTGTTTGCTCTCCTCATGTTCTTTGTTTTACTATTTCTTTAACTGCACAGAAACATAATGAGGCCCGTATCAGTACAATTATAAAGTTGAGATTTTAATTTTCTGATATTCAGTATTAGCACTTGCTAATAGCACCATGCCATTCTGTTTCTTTGCAGGATATAAATTAAAGCAGGGATCTTCTCAGGCACTGCTTTTTTACACTGACTACCATGAGTCGTTTTCTGTGAAAACTTTTATTGCAAATCAAAGAAAAATCACAGCCTAAAATGACATAATTAAATAACACTGGGTTATATTACCTACTATTAAACAAAAATAATACAATGAAAATAACAATCTTTTAAAGTAACTGCTCTTTGCAGAGTGTATGTATTATGAATAATAATGGAAAATGAAGTCTCCAGGAAAAGAAAATTAATGTTATTGTAAGAACTGTAACTATGGATCTCCTGACATCTGAATGATTAAAACATTAACATTTCATTAAAAGATATGAGAATAGTATCTGATAAACAAAAATAACTTCTGTGTGAAGAATTCATTACTTATTTCTATTATTAGTGCTACTATAATGATGATAACATTAAAGTATTTTGAAAGGAAAGAATTTTTACTTTAAGACTAGATAACTTAGCATGGAAGGCTAATGCCACCTTTTATGTAGTATGGTGGTGAATCACTCCGTATACTCAGTATTAAAATCTACTTTGACCAAAATTAAAAAAGAAATTTCACTTACCATAGAGCTGTAATCTAGGATGCTTATGCCGTCTTCATGTACAGCAAACCATATGAAGGACTTCTCAACTGAGGATGTTGCTAGAGGCTACAAGGAGGAATATTCTTTAATTACTACTTCAAAATGAGGCAATATGTAAATAATTATTAACTGACAGCTATTCTAGAGCTCTCTCCATCCACAGACCTTACTGACATTTACACTGGGAGAGAACTGATGTAAAGGAATTGAAGTAGCTGCCCAAAGCCATGTAGGCGGCCGGTGGCAGAACTATGAACTCAACCTAATACTCTTGAAGCCTCCCCCAGTGCTTAGTCCAATAAAATGTGGAGTCTCATTAATAAAATTTTAAAAAGTCAGCTGTTAAAGTTTGTTCAGCAGCACATATGTCATATGCAAAGAACAGAGTGCAGATAAGCAATTATATATACATACTGGGATTACCTAATAAAACATAAGGGGTGAGGTGACAGTTCTGTTTAACATAGCTGTTATTTGAATCAAGGGAATTAAGATACTAGTGGTTTAAGAGAAATTGAGAGAGGCCAGCACAAAAGGGAGTGCTCTAAATACCCTTAACAACATCTAATGTTTCTGCAAGGTTCAGCTTCCATAGCCAGTTAATGATGCCTTTTCAATATTCTACTAGTTATCGGGTAAAAAAAAGTCTGAAACAAAAAGGCTATCTCAAGCTAAGATATAAGAAAATGAAAAGATACCACCTAGATTAATAATGTAAAACAAGCAGTAAGTATATTGGAAAGTTACTATAATACTATACTTAGTACTATGGCTATTACATTTCACCAGTATATAGCTTAAACAAGTTAGTAATTTGACAAGAGATTCAATCAGCACATGTATAATGCACTAATTTTCAACAAAAAGGTATTACTATTTGCAAATTGTATTTATATTTAAAAAAACCCACCACTCAAACTCAGTAAAGTTTCTTACTTTTGCTGCAAACAATTTAGCACCAAAGAAAGACCATTTTCTGGCTACTGTGAGATAAATGCGCACACAGTCTGCAGCACTGTGCCCCCGGAGAGCCATCCATCTTGTAGACAATCGCTGACAAAGCTGTCTGTTGAAATGAAATATGTAATTTAGTTATTGAAAGGAATTTAAATGCTTACCCATAGCGAGTTTAATGAGCAAAAAAAAATCCATTTGTTAAAATGATAATTTAAGTTAATGCAACAACTATCACTTATACAGTATTAAATAAATCCAGAATGTCATTTAATTTTTTTATGCACATGAAAATTACGAAGTATCTTCTAATTTCTGCAACATTATGATTAAATATTGATGTAGCAGTTGCAGCATAAAGGGAAAAAGTCTAGTACAGCTTTTAATGTGTCTCTACAGATGATCAATCTACCTTTATCAGTACTCAACAGCTATGCCAGTTGTCATTCCAAAAATCCATTCAGCTTAGCACATATCTTTACCTGTGGCTAGTAGCAGATGTGGAAGACACAGCTTAACACTACACTTTTTTAGCGTATCTGGGCACTGCTACCAAAAAGGGTGCTTCTGATGCATGAAGTGTTCACACTGGCTCTTTTCTTTTGTGGCCCCATGGTGAGCTGGTTCAATAAAATGATCGTACGGAAAACTAATCCTCCAAAAAAAACCCCCAAAACCCCCAGAATACCTTTCTAGTACATTGACTTGCAGGAATGACTCACCTGGCAGCCACAGGATTATTAGATACAGCCCAAGAAAAGGCAGGACAATGTGTAGCAAAGGGAGATCTTTCTCTTGCAGCTTACTCTTACTGGAAGTTTATTAAGTCAACCTGCACCCTTAGCAAAATAATACAAGAAACAGGCAGGTATAGAGTGATTCTTTCCCTGCCACTGACTTCCACCTCTGGCAATTGGTAGTTTAGGGACCACCTGAACAGTTCAACAGGTGTTTGACTTAATCCTCCATGAATTAGTCTAATCTAGGACCTCTTACACTTTGTTCTCTGAAATTGATTGCATAACTTTCTATTTGTTGTGCATATACTTTTGAATTTCCCTATTATCTTCTGAGTATGTAATAATGTTACTTTATGCATAGGATAATAGCTTTAAACTTTCTCAGCCCTGTAGTGAAGAATGACAAAAACATTTCCATGATGTTTATTGGACTTCAAAATTGCTCTATCATTGACTTTGGATAATTTATTACACTGTTATGCTCTTCTTTATGTTAACAGGTGTTGATTGAAATGACTTGCAGATTATTCATTTTAAATTAAGTGATCCTTTACTAGCAAGTGCACTAAGTTAACGTATTGCCAATTTGACTGGCTGCCAGATTGCACATTTGACCAGCAAACACTCAGATCAGATCCTCATGTCCTTTACTTTCAGTAGTTCTTTAGTCTGTGCACAAGACTTAAGTTAGATTTGCTGAATAAGAAATACAAAAATTTCAAAATCGCTGGGTTTTGTAACGCTGTGTAGTAACTTGTACAACTTCTGCTGAAATGAGTGCTTAATGATGGTCCTCTGTTTAGATGAGAAATATACAGAAGGAATGGGTTCTTCAATTTAGCAAGAATATGAGTTGTAAACACAGGTTTAGGCAAATATGGCATAACAGTAAGTTGTACCTAATGACAATTTAAAACCTCCTCATTTCACTCCTAGATTTTTAGAGAACATGAATCGCAAAATACATCTCACCTTAATTGTTCCTCTGAACAGCCATGCCTGTATCTCTTAGGGTAGAATCTCTCCAAAACTTGTTTTAAGGTTTGATTGGACTTGGACTGGGAAGTGACTTGCCCCGCTGGCGTTGAAAAAGGCCGTTCAAAATCTCCAATCTCTACCTAAGGGAAAGACAATGAAGAAGAAAATTTTTTGTTACTCCAGAGTAATTTTCTAGCTTGGTATTATGAGCTATCTTTTCCTCTGTCTTACCAACTATAAAATGAAAAACAGTTTGTCAATTAATGTATATTTTTCACTGATATAAAAGTCATGCAAGTAATTTTATTTTTCTTATTTTGTATTTACCATGGAAAAAAGATAATCATCAAGTATAAATTGTACAAATATAATACTTACTAGTTCTGCTCTGAGACTGCTAGATCTCCAGCTGACACACAAGCCAGTTTAGATTTATTGAGTAACACCATCAACCAACTTTCTCAATAACCTTCCCTTGAGCCTTTAATTTTTTAAAAACAAAACAGATCTTATTGAGACCATGTCTAGTAAAGGAGTCCTGGGCTTTCATTAAACAGTTGTTACTTTGGTGTATTAACTTGCAGAAATTGCATAAGGAAGGGTGAATGAGGAAATGGTGCATGATTACATGATATTTAATCAAAGAGGGCCTGACTCTGGTGGAGGTAAAGCACATTTTATCTGTACTGGTGCCAACAGCAGCATATGCTGTAAAGCATTTCCACTGAAGTACAGAGTTAGCCTTACACAAAGATTCCAGCTCAGTCTGTTTCCTGCACTGTCACGTGTAAAAGGTGGAGGTCACTTGACTGTCAAGCAATCCCGGACCAGTTTCTTTATTCAAGTTTTTCATCTGTAAAACTGCTGTGTGAGTCATTAATGCACAAGGATTACCTGAGCTAAAAGCGCTGTCAATTCCATCGCTAGTTCTTTGTTTACGGGGAAGAGTCCGTTGACTATTTGATCATTTGTCTGATATACTAGCAGCAGCTTCTCTCTGTCTGTCTCCCCATGCACTTGAACCGAAAAATAAAGCCTACAGAAAAGACAGAAAGTTATTAAATAAAGAAGATAGGAAAATGCATTAGCCCTGAGGATTAGCAGTATCTGCTCTGAATGTGACATGTTTACGTCAGCATCCAAACGCATCATCAGAGCAACACTTGTACTTGAACCAGTGAGCAAATGTTTCATTTCAGTCTTCTGAGTTCAGTGTTGGGTTTTTTTTTTTGCAGCCCTGCTCACCTCTTAAGAACTAGAAAAAATTAACTATAGGGTTTTTTTAAAAAATTCTCCAGTTACACCTGTTTACTATTTTTGTTGCAAGCTTTGACTCAGCCAGTATTTTTCAGATGAAGAAACTCTGCATAAATGAAAAACAAATCTTGGGACAAGGCAGAGATGTTACGCTTGCTATACAAACCTATTTTTGTAAGTAAGGCGGACAGTCCTTGTGCCTTCACATTTCCCAGGGTGTTGTTCTTTGGAGGCTTGCTCCCATTTTGAAATAATGTCACAGATCTAGAAGGAAAGCAATACAGAACTGACTTTGCCGTGTATTCCTCTTTGAAAACACCTTTGAATGGAAATTGTCTACTTATTTTAGTATCTTTTACCTATTACATATCAGAAACATACATAGCTTGAATTTTTAAGCTTACTGAAAGACAACGTTACTTGCATTTCTTAGTTGGAGCATTTAATAATTAATGTTTTTGTTGTTTGTTTATCCTGCAACACACACACACTACCTTTGGAAACGAGCCATAACATGCTTAATATGGAAATGCCAGGTTCTTGATTTAGCAGCAGCCAATGAATGTGTAATTATACAGAGTGAGTTGTTATATAATTAATCAAATGCCTTTGATCTCTGCCTTCTCTTTCTGCTGCATGCTGGAGTTTTTCAGGGTCCTTTCTAGTAACTGCTATAAAGTTTGTATGAAGTTTGTTGTAAAGTGCAGCAAGAGTGGTTCACAACCAGTGGTGTAGGTGGGTAGGTGGGTAGGTGGGCAGATGGGGAGGAGGTGGAACAGAGGTCCTGGGAGCCCTGCTGGGCTTCATGTCACTGCTCCTTCATAAAAGAGCCTTCCTGGAAGCAGTAATGTGACCAGCTTCTGAAGCTGCATTTACCAGGAAAGTAAGTATGTTTTTATACATTTTGCTTTCCATATGGTAATTATTCCAGTAGGGGAAGAGAGCTGATCATGATGACCCTGCTTTTGTTTGTCACTAAGGCCTGGTTGTACTGCAACTTGTAACTCAGCTGTGCATGTTGGCCAAAGGGTGCAAAAGAACCACTTGACAGAAGCACAAAAAGTTCATTATTCATTAGTTGCTAAAAAGCTTGAAAAATATCTAATATTTTATTAAAGTATAGATTATATTGCATTTTCCAATCTTTACTGCAAAGAATTTAATTCTAGAAGTAGAGGGAACTAAAATTCAGAAATGAGAACAATGATAAGCCAATCATTGGGAATTTCCTGAACTGAACCCTAATTATTCTGTATTTAGATAAGGAACCCTGTCTTTTTTTTCTTCCCCAGGATGTCCACCCCAGTATGAATGACTTTTTGGGCCTCAAGTTGTCATATTTTGGAGCTATACAAGGTATGTTAACTGAAATCTCTAAATGCATCTTGGACTCCAATTGTTTTTTAGTTTTAAAGGACTGTGATTAGTAACAGCTTATTTTTTTCTTTTTTAACCCAGCTGCTGCTCTATGAATAATATCAGTCTCCTCGACAAAGCTTTTAAATATAGTTCACTGAATGAATTTCAGCAATTGAAAAAGCAATTTTTTAAATCTTTCCTTTTACATTATGAGGAAAAAATCTAAAGACAGTTTTCAGCCTGAATAGTGTTTTCCTTTACATTGTCTGAAGAGAGCTCTGTAAAACAAAGATATTTTGTTGTTTTATATGCAGAGCTCATTAAAGGTTTTTGTTTACCTTGATGTTTCCTTGAAGACAGTGCTCTATATCCTTGCCAGAGGGATCATCAGAAAACAGTGCAAATCCTGACTGAGCTGGTTTTCTCATTCCTGTATCCTGGTTCAGGGTGTTCAGAAATTCCTCCACTGTGGTAGAGGCATCAAACCCAACAACCTAAAAAAGCAGCCAAAATGTATTTTGCTATCAAACTTACTAAAAGAACCCACCCCCTTGCCTTCCCTCTCAATCTAAGATATTGAAGGATAATACCTCTAGAATAATGGTGGCAATATTTTGCCATCCATTCCATCCCCTTTGAATTGTTAAAAAACTCTTTTCAGCCAGCTCTCACGGTTAGAAACACAAACCAGGATGTGAAGCAGTATGCATGGAAGCCCATGTAAAGTTTCCTACAGGCTTTGACTGATGAAGTCCCAAAAGAGTTAAGAATGAAGCTGTGTTTGTTCTGTAACAAATATGGTTATCCTTCATGACTGATAATGGGAGTTACAGCTGTGCTTCCAGGCCTTTAGTGAGGTATTTAACTTTCAAGATTTCTGATGAAAGGAAGTGGAATTTAATACCTTTCCCTGTTCTTCAGTCTAATTCGTTCATCTGGTGCTCAGGTTAAATAAGAAACAGAACTTCAGTATTTCTCACTCTTAAGAGGTTTTTTTTTTCCTTTCTTTCAGAGATTTTTCTCCAAACCTTTACTCTACCTGGTTCAGTTACCTTGTGCCTGCCATTGCTAGCACTGGCACAGGACAAAACTTGAACCGTGTTTACCTTAACAATTACAGTTCTGTTTCTGATATACTACTTCATGTATCTGCCAATAGCAAGGGGTTGGGAGGTTAGATTTCGTGGTCAGCCTGACGTTACCTGATATATGCCGTTCATGAAATGAACTGGAATACTGAAGGGCAGCGAATGGTGGTAGGGGTTTCTCAGAAGAGTGGAAAGGATTTCCATTCTGGAAGGTCTGGCTTCTCGGTCTCCGTTCTGCTGGGTACGCTCTACACATCGCTGACAATATATTGCATATTTCCCAAATTCAGTCCTGTGACAAGAAAAGAAATAAGGCAATTCTTCGGGACTGATTGAAAGGATAGTAAACTGTAAGTACATTTCTCTGGGGGGTGCCAAATGGGAGGAGCACTCAGATTTCACTCTGCGAGATTTCCAACACATTTTTCCATGTGGAATTATAAAGAGAAATAGTCCACTGAGACCAACAGAATTGTGCCGAAGATGAACATGGCTCAGAGCGTTTTGTTGAACTGCCATATTTTGGTTTTCATGGTTTTGCACTGTACAGCCAGAGTTCCACTGCAGAGTATTTTTCAAGACAAAGGATAACTTTCCCAAGTGATGCATAGAAGTAACAGGTACTACATTTTAGTAGCACTGGAGCACAATTCTACTCAGATTTATTTTAAAATATGTCAGAAGATCTGAAATATTAAATGAAAGATTGAAAATAAGGTACTTCAGAAAGACTAGTCAACTAGGTGGGTAATAATATTTAGGCACACCTGGAGTCTGCGTTCTTCTTTAAATGAAGTTTAAGAAGCCAAAGGAATGGGTGCTGGGGCAGAAAGAGTCCAACGCAGAGAGCCAAGAGCTGCAAGCCCTGGACAAAAGGAAGACATTCACTGTTTTAAACATCTTACAAAGTAAAACTTTCTGCTGTGGCTGCTGGCCAGCAGTGCAGCTTACTGTGCCAAGCTGAGTAACAGAGAGCTGTAAAGGGGAGTAAAAGCAAGAAAACACAGAAAAAAAGCTGAGTAAATAAGCATGTCACCTCATCAGAAGGCCAAAATGCTCTCTTTCTATTTACCTGTGTACAGCAAGTTTCTTTTGGGGCTGGAAATGGGAAAGCAAATCAGTTTGAATAAAAAGCTGTTAATACACAGGAAAAAAATACTAAGGTGGCAAGGCCAAGCACTAAGAAAAGAGGAGAACCCTGTGCAATTTTAATTCATCTCTCCTGTTACATATATTATGAAACAACCCGTAAGACAGTTTCCTCCTACCAAGTAGTTGGTAATATTGAAAAAACAATTATTCAATATTTTGGTGTATTTTCATTGCTCAGTATGTATCCATAGGCTTCACTTAATACAGACTGCTCTCATGTACTCTAGATATAAACTTACAAACGTTGCAACTACTTTTCTCACAACTGTATCAACGCATCATACTGAAATTTAGGGGTTTATCTATCTTGATTTATCTGACTTGCCCAGTATTAAATAGAAATTTGACAGCACAGGCACAGATACTTCTTTTCATCAAATACCTGTACTTTGATGGAGGATAGCATTGGCTCTGTTTCAGGAAGACGCTGCAGTAGAAGCAGGTGTGGGAGACTACAGCATTAATTTAGGACTTAAAATAATTAGTGTGAGGCTATAGACATTTTGCTGAACATGGTAACCCTTAAAAATCATGCCAGTGGATTATGATAGCAACAAGTTATTTATCTGTATCAGAGGGAAGGCCTTGCTAGTGGTACGAAAGTACCAAAGAAGGATTATGGTTAAATTCCATCAGCCATATGTAACTTCAGTGCGTGCTAAATGACATGAACATGCTATGTCTGTTACAGAAGCTTTGTGGATGTTTTAGCGATGCACACATACTGGCCATATCCCAGATACGGGCTGTTTCTAGATAATAGTTATGTCTGCTGGTCACGTTCTACTTTCTATGGCAAGAGAAATGTGTTTATTACAAAAGCCTTAATATGGTAATTTCCTTTCTCATTTTCTGATCCGTCTCATAGTTCTGCAGGTATTCCTCCTTCGTATGTACTATTGTTCCAGTTCTGTTAATTCTACAGAAACTCTAAGTATTAGCTTTCCTTTCAGTTTCAGTTCATTTAATTGTTACATATTTGGATACCAGTGAATAGCTGGCAATGGACAAAGGTGAAGAATTTTAAGTATGTATTTATCATCCAGCATGCAGGGTGCGTGCAGAACAGCATGACATACAAGAGGGGACATCTATCCAAAACCCTGAGCATATCTGAGATTTCACAACATGGCACTACGGCTTTTCTTCACACTGATGCTATACAGACATCTGCTATGTGGTTTAGCCCACCAAGCTTCCTGATGCAGCACCTCTAAAGATGCAGTAAAAGAGAATGAGGTTCTGTACATGATGTCTTACTTAACACTTTACTTGAAGATAGCCCACTGTATGTCCAGCCTTTAAAAACAGCACAGGCACAGATACACCCTGTCATCAGATATAAGTACTTTGATGGAGGACAGCATCAGCTCTGTTTCAGGAAAACACAGTAGTAATAAGATGGTATTTCAGGTTTTTATCTGATCTTAAGTAAGCAAATGCTACAGAAGTGTGGAGCCCCTTTACCATTCTAAACAGTCTGAGCTGTTGAAATAGAAACCATTAGAATAAATACTGCATTACCTGTACTGGTCCTGCCTGGTTTTGTGGATGTCGACGTCTAGTCTGTTTAATAAGCTGACAACAGATCTCATTTTGAAGTTCAGGATGTGTGAGGCAGATCTGCAAAGCGCTTTGGGCCAAAGATACGTGGTAATCAATGGCAGGAGAGTCAACTGCAGCATTTATAAACAACTGGCAGGTCTAGATATAAAATAATAAACCAGTGAGTTTATTATCTATCAAATCTTTTAGATGTTCTGTATAACAAAAATGTGCTATAATTGAGGTCACAATTACTTAGTTTACCCCTAGACTAAAGAAACCCTGCTGGCCCTGCAAATAGGAGTGAAAAGGGACCAGAATGGCGGAAAAGCTATACAGAGAGACTTAAGATAAAAACACCTCTTAAAAAACATGCTTTTCACTCCCTATCTAATGGAGTGAGCTCTAGCAGGAGTTGCAATAGTTGTGGTGGTAGGCAAGTTTAAGGACATGCTGAACATAGCTTATCCCTGTACAGGACTTTAAAATGCGAGGTGTACAGCTCTCAATGGCAGCCAGTGTAAAACGCTTGTACAAGTAGTGAGCACAACACAGCAGAATATACACAGACAAGAAAGCCGCAACTTGGAGCCATTTGCTTTACGTCTTGTCTTTCACTGGTATTTTTACTGTGGGTAAGTATAACCTTTCCTGTCCCCAGTACTGTCTTAGGAAAGTCAGGTGTTAATCATTTGTTGTGCTGTATTAGAAGAAAGCTTACATATCACTCATTGCATTTACTCCATATAATAGTTGAAGAAGTTTCAAGGTATATAAGCAAAATACAAGAAATGGATGGAAGCCCAAATCTATTTTTAGTCTATCTGAAAATATGTGGAGGCACAGGACTAATTTTTATCAGCAATGGAATAACTGAAACATGGCTTGATCTGTTTCTAAATCAGTTCCCTACCTGACTTTTAAACTGATTTATACAAGGTTTCAATAAAGGTCATACAGGTCATCTCTTAGTTATTTATTTTAGGCAAGTGTCTGTGATTTGAATTAGGTCTGAAATATATTTCAGAAAGTGATTTCCAAATAGATATAAATTTATTTTTATCAGAGAAGTACATTCCCTTTAAAATTTTCATGCTGCAGGATTGCAGAAGATAAGATGAATGTACTTCTTTAAAGTGCTTCAAACATTTCAGAGAAACAAGCTGGAAAGTTTGCCTAAAAGTAGCTGTGACTAAACGTATGGTGCTTGTCTTGAATTCCTTTCTAGATCCGAACCATTACATCAAAATTATCCAGATATTCACAGAATTTGGTCTTTAGACTTGTATAAGTTCTGTGGAGACAGTTCATTTATCCAAGCTCCATTGCCTTCCAACTTGTAATTTATTTCACAACGTACAGAAAAAGGAACAGCAAGATTCTATTTTGTCTCTTGAAACAGACTTTATAGCCTGGCTATTAGTTAACGTTCAGGAGTAGTTTTCCCTGGATGAGGGCAGGAGAGAGGAGAAAGAAGGTTAATGGCATTGCAGCATACTCCCTCTCATAGATCTCAACCACCTATCTGCCCTTTCACTGGGAAAGATATAAGGCCTTACTGGCATACAAAAATTCTCAAGGAACTAGCTGCAGCGCAGCAGTTATGAACCATTACATGTCTCTTAATTATAAAGCCTTTTCACTAGTACTGGGAGAGATATATATATGTGTATTTTTAAAGGTATATGAAAATCTTTAGAAGTGAATTAAAAAAACTGTTGTGAAATACTTTCAATATTTTCTCTATTTGTATTACTAGAATACCTAATTAGTCTTTTAAGAATAGCTACTTTATATGTAGAAAAGATTCTATTAAAAAGAGCAGTAGAATCTCTGCCTTCTATCTCAATCTGAAATAATCCATGATTTGCTTAAACTTAAACTTTGCTTGGTTTTTCGTTTGATGTTTAAAATGTCTTCTAGATGACTTAAATATACCTACAACAAAACTTGTGCCTACCATTTGTTCTTCCTGAAATCAAATTGCAAAAGTACTATTTCAGATACAGTTCTCTGAATACAGAGATCCATCCATGCTGTTAGGTTCTCTGGGACTTACGAACTTCATGATGAAGTTATCATCCATGATGGCCATGGATTTTTCTACTAACTTGCACTTTATCAACAACCTCAGTAGGAAGGCCAAAAGCTGAAGCCTAAGCTGCTCCCTGACAGCTAAAAGTGATCTCTTTACACTGGAAGTGATTCTCTTTGATGAAATAATATGGGGACATTCTGCTACTATCCATTAGCTACCTCCACTAAAGATAAGAGTAAACTTCTTTTTTTTTTCCTTATCTGTTGAACATCTCTAGTAAGCCAACTAATAGCCATTCTTCAGCTAAGAGTTAAAATAGTAAGTCAGTTAATAAAAAAGGCATCTGCTATGGTTTTACCTTAAATAATTTAATTGCTTCAGTTTGCAAGGCTTCTGATGGCAATGTTGTAAGAGGGGAAGCAATTCCTTCTTTGCTGTGGCAAAGGGTAGGATGTCTCCAAATCTGAGAAGCTGAACAGATAAAATATGTAGGTTTTGCAATTAATTCAGTTCGTAAGTACATTCCGTAAATAAATATTAGAATATTAGTATGTTGAAACAAAAACAAACTTACTGGTATCACCTTCCATATTTAATAATTTGCAAATAAGTTGTTCAAACTCAGATCCAACATTTACACTGGTACTTCCAGCTGCAACTGTGAGATGGTAACACCACATGTCCTAAAGCAGATAAACACACAGCAGCTCACTCATTCTGTGTTGGAAGGAGCTGCTTCATCAAGATTTTGCTCTCAACTTGAAACACTGCCGTATGCTCCTGTTGAAGCCCAAAGGAGTTTGCCTTTGTTTGAATACACCTGCATTCACACAGTCTCTATGTTACAAATACTAAGCAAGGAAGATTGGACAGGGCTCCCTTCAGAAGTCTTTTACCCTCAGAAATCATGGCATTCTTCCTTTCCTCTTCAGAAAGCCTTTTTATCACTGCCAGTTCCTGCTAACCTGGGGATAAGGCCAGAAAGCAAAACAAGGTCTACAAGATTACTTGAGAACAATGAAGCAATAATAATAAAAATGGTTTTAACCATACCTCTCATTTCTCTTTCACTTCAGTAGGGCAGTCTTCCCTACTGTTAGTCTTACCAGTGAAAATGGATAACAGTATCCCAAAATCTCTCAGGAAGGTCTGCTACAGTTTTGCCTACAAGTTAGTGTAATGTGAGCAAAATTCTCCAGTTACAGTATATTTGATATTATGCACCATCTCCTTATGTAGGCAAGCCTGCTGCTTATTTTCACCTATTTTAAAAAGGATTACCTATCATAGCATTGGTTTGCAGACAAACTCTGACTGATGTTAATGAAGCAGGACATACATATCCTTGCATATATCAAACTACAAGCCAGATGACTTGTACGTCCTCTTCCTTCTCCTCTTTAAGAAATATTCATATCACAGCACCATACTGATAGATGTGTTACTGAAACTCAATAAAAAAGTCCTTTTATTACCTTCTCATGTTTGGATCCTATAAGAAGATAGGTGGGTCCTTGATCTTTGGGGTGGATAACAACCGTGTAATGTGTTGATAATAAACTGCGACCACTAGCCTCATAATCTTCATCAGAATCGCATGATCTATCAACTTCTTCAACCTTCGCCTCAGAAAGTTTGATTTGCCCAAGAGGAAACTAAAAGTTAATATCAGAAGTGGTGAGAGAACAAATATTTGCTTCAGTGCACATGAATTTTATATTTCTTATTGTACAAATAGAAAGAAAAACGTGAACTACCATCAATACCCATTTGTATGTATTCATTTTCAGTCCTGCCAAGGTATGTCAGAGAAGCCAGCTGTTGCAGACAGCAGCAGAAGAATGATATGTGCCAAAGTCTGAAAGTGAGATTTTAAAAAATTCTCTTCCAGGTCGGCTGCTGTACCTAGTTAATGCAATAAATGTCTATTAGGGCGAGAGAAGGAATTCTTCAGAGTTTCCACACCTGGTTCCAAGCAAAACTTCCCTGGGTCAAGCCTAATCTTGTCATTTCAAAGGACAGCAGTGTAGTGTTGACGTATTTATTTTGTTCATGCTATAAATTCACAAAGTACATTTTTTGTGTGGTAGACCTTCTCAGTTGGTTTCATTCTTCAGCCTGACAGATCACAGTACTTGAGTCTTAAGTTGTATATGTAGTTATGATCATTTATCAGGAAATATTTTATATGAAAAGCCGTTCAAAAGGAAATTTTCACAGAAGTAATTATTTCATAGCCATTATCAACAGGAAGGCACAACGAACACAAATACAGCATGCTACTGTTTCTGTGTTGTTTGTGATGTCTAGCAATGCTTAGTGATACAGCAGAAAGAGAGGGATGTTTCCCTTTAGTGGAAGGGTGGTTTGGCACTGCAGTAACTAGCATCTTATTTGTGCCACATTCAAGTGTAAGCCTGAAGGTGTCTTGAAATACCAACAACGGGGAAAAGTATATGAGGCTGACTCTTAGCTTCTCAATAATACTCTTTAAAAATTGAAAATACGACACTGGAGGGTAGCTGGGAAGTTTGACTCAGTCTAGGGTGGGTTTCTTGAATAGAGATTTGATAAACTGAGCAGTTAATAACATAATCATTTTGAAGAAAACATCACATAGTGGTGGCTCTTTGTTCCAGTGCTCTCACTAGAGAGGCTTAAAGATGCATGTGGTGATTTGTATTTTCTGTGGTGCTTCTGAAGTATTCAACTTTTTGAACAAGATAAGATTCTGAGAATCAAGAGATGTCATTTCATATACAAAGAGTCGAGACTGATTTATTCACTAAGTTTAACTAAAACACAGATGGCTAATTTTTTAATTTGAATGCCATTTTGAAAGGAAGCCACTTAAATGGACTCCATTACTATGCTTAACCACTGCACATTGTGTAGTTTGTTTCTGCACGGTCACATTCAGCTGCAGCAAACATGTTTTTAATTAGCAAATTGTTGACCATTAGAAATGAATGAGCTTTGAAGAACTTTTCGTACCTATTCTGCTTACAAAAGCTGAATTCTTATTCTATTACAAGGTTGCAAATTAGTTTCAATTTTGCTTTAAAAGGGCAGCAAAACTTGTTCCAAATGTGAGGGAAATATTCACAAGAATGCAGCAAACTTCTTAGATGCTTCTAGAGGGCATGCTAAACCCCCCAAAATTTTGAATGGTAAAAATGTGTAAGAGATCTCTTCATAGGAGAAAATGCAAGTTAGTTTTAATGTCTCTGAAGATGAGCTAGAGATTAATACTCTAGTAATTTGATTCCCCAGTCCTGTATTACACATTTAAAGAGTAATTAAAATAAAATGTTTTGCTGGATAGTTACTACTATCTTACTCATATAGTTCTAGAAATAAGGTTTAGTTCAATGTTTAAAAATGGCTAAAAAAGGATAACAAAGGGAATAACTAGCTTTGTACAGAGGCTACAAATTGCTGGGTCCACTATGATTATTTGGCTAGATCAGAACTAATAAATGGGATTTTCTGTATTTTTTGAACTGTTATGGGTTAGAATGGCTCAGTGGACTGTTACCATTTTGTCAAGTGTCAGCAGTCTTACTAGAGCTAAGTAATAAGTGTATGAATCAAATATTCATAACCTTAGCAATATTAAGAGGAATTCTTGTAGACGTTTACAAAATCTTGTTCCTCCATTAAAAAGATGTTTCTTGATGACAAAATGCAATGCCTCGGGAGCAAAAGAACAGGTGAAAAGTATGACAAGAGGTGTCCTTTGTCCTGTCTCTACATAAATATGACTGGAAATATTAGGACTGACAATATTCAGAAGTGTGGGTAGAGAACTAAAGGTCAGGCCCGATGTGGAAGTGTTAGGTCTTGCTTGCTCTTAGCTCCTTGTGTCCTGCAGGGTATGGGATGTTTGGAGGTTAACTTAAAGCTGACTGGATCCCATTTCTTCCTTTTCTTTCTCAAACAGTATTTTCCCTAGGTTTCAGAAATAATTTTCTCCTCCCTTTCTCTTGCCATCTTCCATCCCCATTTCTGTGCACCTCACCAGTTGTAGACAGTGAGCTCTTTTTCCATAATTCTGATGGAGAGTGGAAAAAGATCCTCCCCCCCCGCCAGACACACATCTGCAAAGCAGTAAACTCAGCATCCTGCAAGCTTGCTTTTTTTTTTTTTTTGCCTTTCCTGGAGCACTGTGGAGGCACAGTGACATACCAAAGAACAGGATTTGGAAGTCAGTTGAGGGATAAAAAGAACATTTAATTTCTTGAAACTTGCAGTCACTGCCCACTGCCCACTGCCCCATACATTAGAAAGGGTCAGCTTCCAAAACTAGATGACAGCCAAGTCTTTTCTGATGAGTCTCATGCCTGTCAGAAAAGGGAGACCTAGGCTATCAGCAAATCAGCGTCCCCCTTCGGCTAGGGTAAGAAGATGCATAATATGTATCATGTCCTGTAGGAGAAGGAGACCAATGGGTGTGCCCTGGATTACTGTCCACTGGATAGGAGCCTCCCAATCTGACAATCTGTGAAGTCTAAATGTTTGGTAATCAAGATAAAATGGGCATATACTAACTACCTAGGCCAACTGTACCTTAATAAACCTTATTGTTTAAAGTCTACTTCAGTATGTTATCTTCCATTCACTGAAGAAACAAGTAAGGGACCTACCTTGTCTTCTTGATTACGGAAATAATACAGAATTTTTCCAACTAGGGTACACCAAACTCTTTTGGAATATCCATGTTTCACCTGAAATTACAGAACATTAGGAAGAAGCACAGCCAGAGAAATACAGACTACACTTTGGTGATGTTGGGAATAAATGCCTTGGCTCAAATTCCTTTCCACATTACTAGACAAATAATTGAAACTGCATAACTCTATTAAGGGCATAAGAATTAAAGCATTAGATAGTGGTCCAAAGCCCAATAAAGCCAGTGTGAGTTTTTCATTTGGCTTTGGATCAGGCCTAAGGTAATGGAAGCTGAGGAAATGAAAGAATTGAAAAATTCCTTTTATACAGTATTTTTATTTTCTTGAAATAATCTGTCCCAGTGAATAATACTGAAAAATAAAGCACTCCACCGAAATAAGTTAGGTCAGTTAGCTACTGAAGCTTGTGCATGTGTCACAGTACTGTGTTGAACTAGAATACCACTGAAGTGCAAATGGAGAACTCAACACAGGAACTAATGAGTTTAAAAGACAACAAGAAAAGCCAAATCAAATCAAACAACCAGAATAAAAATATTGCCCAAAGTTGGTGAGTTGCTAGTCCTTCTGGATTGTTCACATTGTAAAGTACTGGGAAAGCAAATACATGTCTGTTTTGCTTGTATTTATTTTATTGCAGAGCCATTTTCATCTAGATACTGTTCTTAAGAAATATGGAATAAAGCAGTTAGGGGGAAGAAAAGTGTTCTTACTTTTGTAAGTAATCCTTTCATGGTTGGCTTGATTTCAGGCTGTATGAAAAGTGGACTGGCAGCCTGTATTTTAAGAACATTCTGTAGTACTTTGATCCATTCTTCTAAGATGTTGGGAGAATCTGCAGTCAAGTAGTATGTTCGTTTTTCTGTGGTTAGCTATGTAGTAACAGAAGAGTCTTGAGCTTTAAGAACATTATACATTTGACCCCACAGTGTGGGGGTTGTAACATAGAATCATAGAATGCTTTGGGTTGGAAGGGACCTTTAGAGATTATCTAGCCCACTCCCCCTGCAGTGAGCAGGGACATCTTTAACCAGATCAGGTTGCTCAGAGCCCCATCCAACCTGACCTGGAATGTTTCCAGGGATGGGGCCTCCACTACCTCGCTGGGCAACCTGTTCCAGTGCTTCACCACCCTCATTACAAAAAATTTCTTCCTTATATCCAGTCTAAATCTACCCTCCTTTAGTTTAAAACCATTACTTCTTGTCCTGTCACAACAGGCCTTACTAAAAAGATTCTCCCCATCTTTCCTATAGGCCCCCTTTAAGTACTGAAAGGCTGCAATCAGGTCTCCCCGCAGCCTTCTCTTCTCCAGGCTGAACAACCCCAACTCTCTCAGCCTGGCCTCATAGGAGAGGTGCTCCAGCCCTCGGATCATTTTGGTGGCCCTCTTCTGGACCCGCTCCAGCAGGTCCATGTCCTTCTTGTGCTGAGGGATCCAGAGCTGGATGCAGTGCTCCAGGTGAGGTCTCAACAGAGCAGAGTAGAGGGGCAGAATCACCTCCCTCGACCTGCATTAGTACCCATAACATACAGTACCCAGTGTAGTTTCACAACTTCAGGGGTATATTTTTCCCAAATCACACTTCATTAATAAAACATTTGGTGGCCAGGCAGAGCAGACAGATCCATGCCTTCTAAGGCTTTTCTGTCTGAAAAGTTCCAGGACAGCAGAGTTGAGAAAACTCAATTTATCTCCTTTTGAACACCTTCTCCCAACCCTAATGGCTGGCCCCAAGACTACTCTCTCTATTTCTACCTCATATGTGATGATCTGACCTTTGTAGCAATGCAAACAAGATATGTGTAGTCCTTTCTATAGTTTCTGTAACTGAAATGATCCTTTGGTTTCAAATGAAGGGCACTGATTAATTCCAAGTCCACATTTGGATTTCCAGTCCAACAGGAACTGGAACAAGGGGTTAGTTTTGGGGATGGAGGAAATAAATACCCACTGAAACACAGATAAGAAAAGCAGGCACCTGAATTGTTTGCTTTCCATCACCCCTTTCAATGTGACTAGATGCATTTAGCTCAATTTGACCTTGAGGTTTTCGAATGACATCACTCTATGGAAAGAATGGAAAAAGAATATTTTAAATCTACCAACAAATAGCAATAAATAATTGTAGAACTCATTTAAACATTAATCTTCATAAGTACCTTCTAGTTAGACATTGACTACCTTGTACACCTTTTGAGGAACTGAGTCATGAATCACTCTCTAACAGCTCAGACACCAGGAATACATTTCTTTTCTTTCTAGCAGCCCTAGATTCTCAGTAAAAACAATCTAATATTAAACAGCAAGTAAGTTACGTGCACTTACTGGAGATTTGTAGTATAGTAATTCACCTCCTTTAAGCACAAACCACCGTCGTTTCCAGGTCTTTACTTTACCACCCATTTTTAACAGATAGCCAGATTTTTCCAAGGGTTCCTGATTATGTAGAAGTTAGATAAGAAGTAGTTAGGTACACATATATACCTATACCCCTCAGAGATATGTATAAATACACACGCACACCGATATTTGAATGACTTAAAAGCATGCTAAATAATAATTACAGTATTTTATTAGACTTCTAGTCCAATGACAAAGTTTTTACAAGCATCAAGATGAATGCCATGCATGTGGGATAACTAATTAATATCCCTACTTACTTACAGTTATAGTACATGAAGGAGAGTAAGTGATTTGCCCAGAACTATACAAAAGAACGAAGAATAGGATGATTCCTGATTTTACTTTCTGATTATTTGTATTAAACAAGGAACAAAATGAATACAGTGTAAATATGTATTTTTTCCCAACTTCAGGGCCTAACCTGCAGACCAGATATACACCAGTGTCATTCAGAGCTCCACACAGACATACTTTTAGTGTGTACACTGGAGTTCACAGTTTTGCTTTGTGAAGAGAGCTTAAAATAAATTATCTTCATCATCAGGCAGTCAATCCACTTGTATCTTAACTACTAACACAGGCCGTTAAAAAACTCCAGGAGACAGACCAATACCCCATAAGGGTTTGGTTTCTTTGACCTGTCCTCACATGTTGCTCTACTTATGATTTCTCTGATGCCTAAAGTTCTCCCTGTATGATGAAACTATAGAAACGTATTACTGCATAGGGATTTCTACTGATGCCTCCAACTCCTTCAGTGGAATGCCCTTCTATTGCCCTGAATATTCAAGAAACAATTTTAAGCTGATTTTAATATTTCATATGCAATCTGATACCAGATCTGGTTCCAAGAAAGGAAAATCTTAAGTGCTTTGAATTGTCTTCTGGAGTTGTCTACCTATTTCCATTCATTATATAGAAAGCTCAGAATTATCCTTCACTTTCCTTCAATCATTATAGTCTTACATGGCTAACTTATTGTTGGTATATTTTGCTATTTGTACTCATAAGGCAGTCTGTGAGTCAGCAAGACTGAATACAGAGATTTGGTAGCGGTCTTTGAACATAAATACACACAGCACCACAGGTACACTTCTTCACAGAACTTCAGTACTCACATTTTTTCCATTATCACTAGATGAAGAAGAGGTCTTAGGAAGTTTCTGCTCTGGCTCTGAATAGTCTGTATCTACTGAATATGCATCTGGAGGAATAGCATAGTCACTTTCTGAGGTCACAGAGGACAGGGACACACCTGCATTAAAAGAAGAAAGATGTTTCTTTCCATTTTTGATCACATTAGAAACAAATGAGATCAGAAAATCCATGCAGAAAGAATATCTGAGTAGGATCTGTAGCAAACACAAGTATCAAGGTAAATCCATCAGGAACCACGCATTTTTTTAAATATCAGCATATCGAACTATTAGCACAGTGCTAATACCTGAATCCCATCTTCTCATAATGAAACAGAGTTTAAGTCACTTGTGAATGAAAAAACAAATAAATGTCTTCTATATATTATCACCTTCTGTTATATCACTACAGCTTTTTTAAGGAGGGAGTTAGTGCCATGCATCGTACTCATTCTCTAGAAAATTAATACAAGATCTTTAATTAAACTAAGCAACTTCCCCCTTCCCCCTTCTATCATTTGCTCTGGAATCTGGATTTCTCATGCAACTGCTTGTGTACTTAGAAGCAATGCTCAAGATCCGCTATATGTTGAAGCTGTAGGTGACTGTCTTTATTTTGCAATTAGTACGAATTTTTATACTGAGGTTTCCTAAAAATCTGAATTCCAGATTTCAGGATTTTTTTTGGAGTTTATTAGCTTTAATCCTGAAAAAAAATGCACCGTGTTTTCAATTCTAGTGAATCAGCAACAAAAATTCAAACTCCTCCTTTATTCATCATAGAAATAATTATTTTCAAACATGTGAACAAGTCCTCTTGTAAGGACTAGCGTTCTACTCTGAAAGGCTGCTCTCCAAGATTGAAATGAAGATGCCTTGTTTCCTTTGTTTCATTAATTTCCACACTCATTTGCCAATTTTATTTTTAAAAAAAGCGCTTTTCTCATTTATTGCTTTGGTAAGCCACCTGGGCTTTCAGAGTGGGTTCTTCTCTTCTCATGTAGAATCTTTAATAACAAATATGCAGCCAGCTAATTGTGCACCTAGTGGAATTTGTGACTGCCCAGATTTTTAAACAACGTGATCTCAACAAAGATACGTACATACGTGTTTTGTGGTTAAGAAAGGTTTCCATGCATGAAACAATGCAAGAATTATTTTATGAAAAGAAAGCACAAACAAAAGCAATGGTGCCATTTCACAGACACGGATATAAATTGTAGGTGAAACCACCTAGTAAATTAGCTAATTTACCTTTCCTGCTGTGCAAGCATGTAACATGAGATGCGTCTGCAGCCACGGCACTGGTTTTTGCTCAGCCAGATGGAGCTGCTGGGAACCAGGAACTATGGGTCCTTTTCACACTAATGCAGCAAAACTGTAACTGCATCACTGGAAACAGGACTCGATGCCACGTGTGGCTGGCACTGGAAAACTTCTAGGACCAGTGGCTCTATCTACCTGCTCAAGTGTGACTGAGTGGAGCTCCTGCTAACTGGGATTTTAACGTGTGTAATGGAGACTACTGAATGATGTTACTTTGCATTTCTAAAGCAATGTATAATGAAGGATCTTAACACTTGGCCTCACTGGGCTTGGTTTACCCAGCGAAGAAATACTCGCAGGGATATAATGCTGATACTGTCACCCCATGAGGAAGCATTGTATCTTTCAATGTTATGAAGCATGTGATTTTCATTCTGCAGATGGAAAACACACAATTACCTACATCTGTGAGAACTTTCTTCCACAAAAGACAGAACATTACTGGATTCAAGTGTTTTAACTAAATCTTTGCGCAGGACCTTGAGACAATCACTGTAAAAATTAAAGAAGTCCTTTATTGCATGAGATGACAGAACCACATAGTCTCTCGTGGGAGCTTTTCCACCTGCCTTCTGATCACATGAAACTTACTTTGCTTTATAAACTTGAATATATGTGGGGTTTTTTTCTGATGGTAATTACCTTTTTCTAGGTAATTTTTACCTACCTACAGTTAAAGGTCATCAGAAGTCCTTGGCATGACACAGTATAGCTATAATAGAGCTTCTTGCTTTAAATGTACAAGTGACTTTTCCCTCATGACAACAGCCAGCTACTAGATTAATGCCTTAAAAAGACATCTATAATAACAGCAATAAAAAGAAAGCCATGTATAACAGTCCTTTCTCCTGCTTGAATAATAGATCTAGGCTTTGACAGCTGAGAAAAAAGCCTAGATTTAAGATGTACATGCTGTTGAAGGAATCAATTTCTAAAAAGATCACATAAACTGCCTAGTTTTCCAAACTTCCCTGAAGTTGTTCCTTCTTACGGTTTTTGCCTACCTCGTTTCATAGCCCGAGGACTACCCGGACCACTTCTGCTTCGACAATCAGACTCGGAAGTCCTTGAGCTGGACCGAGAGCTGTCTTCTTCCTCAGATCCTGATGACTCATCTATAAATGGGCTGTTGCTTATTTGAGTTGCTTTCTGCAGAAATTAACACAACATTCTTTGATACCTTGCATAAAGGATATCAGTCATTATTTCCTTCATATCGTAGTAGAGCTCTACTGGCTTCTTAACATTCAAAGCTGTTCTTACTTGGGTTGTGAGTTTTGGCACACAAATATCAATGTAAAACTGAATTCCCTCTGCCCTCTGTATCCTCAACCACCCCACACTTTAAAACAGAAACCTGAGGTAGCTCAAGGCATGGGTCTTTCCAAATCACAAAAGGCTGCCAGAAAACAAACAATGCTGTGATTAGTTACTGCTGGCTATCTGACTATAAACACTTTGGCACGAGCACAAAAACATTTCTACACACACACACACTTTTAACAGTGCCATAGCACTGAACACCATGTGGATCTGTTTAATAATTAACAAGCCTTTGGAAAAAATCAGCAAGGAACCTAAGAAGAACAGGCCTGGGCTAGTAACATTTTATAAGCAGCAATAATTTTTTTTTCCAGCTATTTGACATTTCCATTACTTCTGGGGTTCTGTGATATCTAAACATCATCTTATGACATAATTGGCACAGTAGCATCAAATGTGAAACAGCAAGTTCCTGGATATGAAGCCTAACCGTATTTGAGAATTTCCTTTAAACAGGAATACAGTTACCCCTTTCAAAGTGGTGTAGACAGGAGTGGTCATGTTCTTATATATCAGAGATGTATATAATCCGGATATGGAGTATGAACTTAGTGAAACAGCACCTGAAAAAGCAACATATTGTATAAATGACCTTCCTAATTTACCCCTCAATTAACCAAATTCTAATGTAATTTTTTGCATTGTATAACTCCTATAAAATGCAAACTAACTCCTGAACTGTTTTGGATGTGAGATTTATAGCTTTTTGAAATTTACAACAGTTTTAAGGAGTATAAATAAACTGTAGTCATGACCACATGACCACCCTTTTAAAATTGAAAGTATAATCTCTTACCTTGGTACCTGGTATAGAATCTTCAAAGTGAACTGCAAAGAAAACTGAAGTGAACGAAGTACAAATTCAGCACAAAGTCAAGAGGCAAGGTAATAGAAGACAATGGAAAGATAACCAATGATCGTTTAGGTTTTAAATAGCAGATAACTAAATCTCCATAAAAGTATCCTAGAGGAACATGGGACATTTGGTCCTTGCTTACAAATCAAGAAGAGAATTTTTGTTCATGAGACAATGAACAGCTAAACCACTTACTTTTGTTAAGAGATTCCATGGTGAAAGCTTCAGACATCCTTAAACCAGATTTGGCTACAGCATAAATTCTGCTTTCCTATATAAGCAGAATGGACTTGATGGTAGATAATTAAAACACAACAATTACTTTTCTTCTGTTTAGTCTCCCCATAGCCTCCCAGTCTTTGTGTTAGTACAACCATGTGATGAAATGGTTGATAAAATGGTGTCATCAGTACCAGCTGAAAAATGCATCCTTCTTTTTATACGCCATAGGTACCATACCCATAGACTGTTTCAACCTTTTTTTCATATAAAGCTTGCCCTTATAGATAACTCCTTTTTAAAAATACTATTATCAGGGGCCAAAGAAGCTATACCGAGAATATTTTTTAATGGAAGACTGCATGTTAAGAACAGAGAAATACCATTATGGACGCAACTTTTCAACAGTTTTGTGTGCCACAATAAGAAAATCTATAATGAAAAAATATGCACTAAAATATATACATAGAAAAGCTGTTACATTAATGCATTATTCATCTCTGAATCACTAATAAATCTCTGACTGTGGAACTACAGAATCAGTTAGCCTAGACACAGTTAATTTTGGATTTTGTGGAAGAAATACTAATATCTACTTTAATTCCCTGATTGCTGGCTTTAAAATTTTACTTGGAAATGTGATCAATAATTTCCATAGTCTGCAGTTGTGTTCAGTCAACTTAATTGTCTAGAATGTGAGTGGTACAATGGTTACAGCAAAGGCATTGACACCAGCACTCTTAGGCTTTGCTGGTGTTAAGATAAATAAATAAATGAAGTTGCAAACATTACCTCATTGGATATACTCAAAAGGACATATGTAACTTAGATGTGACATAAAAAAATTGGTCTTATCTACAAAAATAGTGACCACGTTTTTCAGTGGCAGAAATACTGTGCTTCAAATCAAACTTGCTTCTGAGTTTGTCCTCCTAGCTGAAATTAAGGTAATGTCCTGTCTTGTCATCAAAAATAGAATGAGAAAGGTAGAAGCAACAAAAATCATAGAAGAGAAGCATGAAAATGTGCTAGTTTCACCAGTGGGAAAACTATCTATCATTACACTTACCCAGGAAGGAAATCGATGTAATGGAGGGGTTGGAGGTTTGTTGCTAGCACCCTTTTTTGCCATATCACAAGGTTCCTGGGCTTCAGCGTTTTGTGCTTCAGTGCAGTCATAGGTAAACACTCCTTCATCAGAGCCAATCTCCATTTTCTCTAAAATATCAGTATCTTCTCCATCCACGAGATCAATGTCTGTTTCCTGAGGTCTCCATGGGCGTATCATGCTTATGGCATTTCTATTTCTACCGAACATTCTGTCAGAACTCAGCTGGGGCTGGCTTAGATGTTTCTTTGCTAATGCTGAATTTATACTAAACACATTAGGAGTCCGTAACTTTGGAGGTGGCAAATTTGAGGGAGAATCTGACGGCGTTGTGCATTGAGAACCTGCAGAAGTTGCTAGAATTGGGTGTTTGGGTGTCAGAGCAGGGGTTAAAATTGGACTTGGGGTATTTGCCTCACTGGATGAGGATGAGTAATCCAGCCTCTGAGATTGAAATTTCTTATTCAGTTCATCTGAAGAACTATCTTGGTCTTTCTTTTTACCTGTGAAATCAGAGTTGCACTTTCCACCTGGATTGTTCTGGCCTTTTCTTTGGGACCCTTGCTGCCAGGAGTATAACTTCTTGTGCTGAGTCCTCTGAACACCGAAACTCTCTTCTTCAAATACAGAACTACTGTCATCAGATGCTGTCAAATACATTTCACTCCCCATTCTACTGTACCTTGCATTCTCTTCAGATGTGTGGCTTGAGAGAGTCGATGCACACCTGGATTTCAGTCCTTTATTCTCTCCTCCATCCTCGTCTGAGCTCCAGTCACTCCCAGTAGTGCAGGAGTTCTTTGACATGTCACTGTCTATGTCTTTGGATGAACAGCTTGTTCTCACATTTTTGTTCTGCTCTGATCCAGAGGAACTTTGTTGCAATGACTTCTGACCTGTATTGCTCTCATGTGCGGGACCAGCAAAGGTAGTTTCCAGGATATCCTTCTCTAGAGGAACGAACATGAGAAAATTACTTTAGCAAACTTGACTGCTAAAGCATTTTGTCATCACATCTGCAAATAGCAAGTAGGTAATCATTTCAAATGTGTAAACACATTTAAGTTTTTTGAATATTGTAAATAATAAAACTTAGGAAAATTACTATAAATTTTTGAATGCAACTGAAGTTGCAATGATGTTTGCGAAAAAAAAACTGTAACAGACATTACTCAAAGTTCTAGCCAAACTAAAAACCGCAATAAATGTAAAGATGAGCATAGTGGAGCCATATTTTAAAGTAAACCAGATATGTATGCAAACAAAAAAAAAAAACCCAAAGCAAAAACCAAAAAAGGGCTTAAGAGGGCATATAAATTTAGCTGCTTTATTAAATCTAAGAAAAATTAAAGTTTAGTAAAAGCTTGTCAGAAAAGATTTACATTAACAAATCAGGTATTCTGAGCATTTCTACAGTGCTGACATACAGAAATTTCTTCTGCAAGCTATTATTGTATTCCCAGTGGTGAATGCTTAAGATACACACGAGAGGCTTATGAAAAATGCTTAGGGAAATACACTGTATTAAAAATAGCTTTGGTTATGCTGTTCACTTTTACCTGGTTTTGCAAGAGAGAGCTATAGCTTGCAGCATGTCAGTGAGGCCTATATGCTCCACCTGAGGTAAAACAGATGCAAGAACTAGGGCTTTTCTACACAGACATTTGGGAAAGTTAATGTTAAAGAGTTGTATGAAGTTAAAGTGGATTGGATAAGCCAAAGATTTTAATTAAGTCCACATTAAAGTAATGAAGTCAGAAAAGTTGATCTGTTTCCATCCAGGTTCTATTTCTTATCTTTTCCCTTGAAAAAATATTCTTACATCAATTTCCTCATCTATAAAAATGGAAATAATAATACATACCCACCTTTATAATGAACTTGGCGTCATATAAGTATACAAAATATTAATAGGATCTACTTCAGTTTCTGATTTTCTACAGACTTCAACTTGCAATTTTGGATACCATGATAAACTGTGTAGAAAATGCTGAAGTCATGAATAGTACTGTGGGACTCAAACGAAGGACCAAAGCAACAGTCCACTTCCTGGGCTTTTCATTGCTTACGGGAAGCAGCAAGCTGCAATGGGCTGGTTTATGCTTATAACAGCATAACAGCACGCCAATTTGCTGGCACTGCCAGGCTTCAGGGCTTGTTGGGGAACTTGTAGGAACTGATCAGGGAGCTTTCTCCTTCTTCGGACAGGAAACAATGGTGCAAAAAGATGCCTGAGACTCTCTTCTGGTTTTTCTGACCTTGATCATACTAATGAAAGATTACCGAGTTGATCTTGTTGAGTTAGGGCATAAAACTAACACTGGGACACTGGGATAGCATAGATGAAATATACAGAAACTGGACTTAGGTGAGACTCTATATAGGCATAAAAACGTAACAGCCCTCCCTGGGGGACTGGAAGCCTTCAACTCCTTATGCTACTGTGGAGCAAACCTGGGCCGCAACAAATTCTTCCGTTCTCAGCCAAAACACCCGTCAGCCACTGCATGCTGCCAAACAATGTATTAGTGGTATTACGGAGACTCTAGTGCTCAACAGGATCTCTTCCTACTAATAGAGACTAGTATAAAGAGGGAGTACTGCTATGTACTTTGAAAATAGCGGGTTCGGATACACTGACATAGTTGTTGATTTTAGTTTTCCACCTGTGTCAGAATAAAATGGCAGTATTGGTGACTAAGTACCTAGCATGTTTTCGCCTTCAGTATAGTCTGACTCTTTAGATGAAGACTTGCTTATTTCTTCATACTTAGGAGATGGTTGAGGACTTCTTGCTCTGTTTGAAAAGCATCCAAAAGTCAAACTGCTTAGTCGCTGACACTCTCCAGGTTTTTGTGTTGAAGTAACAGATTTCTTTCCCGTAGCTTCTGAAGAATAGTAATTCAGAAATCTTGTGTTAATGGGATACAGCAAGGTATGCTACTGGTCTCTTTACTCTGCAGTGTAAAGTCAGGTATTTTTAAGATAACTAAAATTTAGCAAAAAGATAATAAAAGATTTATTATAGGGATAAAAATCTACCTGATACCTCCTCATATAAAAAGAAACCCAGAGCTACATTTCTAGTTCTTAAAGATTGATTCTTTTAGTATAGAAAGGAAAAAAAAATTTTTTTAACAATTTCACAGCAATAAGATATAAAACATGCACTTAACACAGAATGAAAACCTACTGGAAATACCTGATTTTATTCTGCTGTGACTGAAATTAAACCTATGGATTGGTCTAGGATATATAATATGGGAAAGACTGTAGAACAGTGGTATTAAAACAAGTGGCGGCCTTCCCTTCAGGTAAAAATATTAACAAAATCTGTAATAGGTGCTACAGCAAATATAAAGGAGAAGCTACTGGGCTTAGAAGGTATATATGGAGGACTTCAAGATAAAATGATTAAATGCCTCGAGAACATGAAATCCGTCCTTAGGGAGAGCTATTCTGGCAGAAACTGATATGAAACAATGCTGTCCATCCCTATTTATAAAAAGTTCTGTGGCAGATCCAGGAACAAAAGGACCTGTAAACTGTTTAAAACAGTACCACATGATCATAAGTCATAGCCTGTTATCAGCATGGACACTACAAATGGTAATAAATTTCTTAATATTTTTGAGCATATCAGTAAATGTGTGTAGAAAACCAGCTGACAAACTCTTAGTGTCTCAAAAAGCCTTTGAATAGATGTCTCAGAAGAGGATGACTAAAGCTGTTAAGTGCTAAAGTATACAGAAGTGCTACTGGTCAAGAAACAGCTAAGAAACAAAACAATCCAGTTTCCTCATTAAGAGAGGTGCGTCTTAGTTAAAAGCTTTATATTGTGTATGCATGTATTTTGTAAATATTTATATTTTCATATTTTATGCATATTACGTGTGTGCGCACACACATATATATGCACATATACACACATTTCTAAGTGTCTGTGTGTACATACATGCATGAAATACATTATCAAGAAATGAGGGCTAGGTAGCAAACTAACAAGATTTTCAGATGATAGTAAGTTGTCATGTCAACTGAGTATGGAGAGGACTGTGGGAACCTTCAGAGAGACTTAAAGTTGGTGAACAAGCAACACGGTGGCAAATAAAATTCAACTTTGATTAATGTGAAATAATGCTCTTTGGAGGGGATATTCCTCTTTCCCATATTTACATTTTACGATTTTTAAAGTAACTATATCCACTTGGAGAGGAACCTGGTGATACTGTGGCTGAATTAAGGTTTTGGATCACTGTAGTCAAATGTAGTAATTTAAAAAATCTGATCAGAATTCTGATTCCCAGCTGAGCATTTGCTAGAAAAAGCAGATGCAGACTGACATCGATCTATTCCTTAACAGTGCTAGGACTACCTATGCTATAAAGAAGTGAAAACAAAGATCTGACATAAATCCCGTCAAATCTTACTACTTGCAGAATGTCTTAAATAACAGAAATACCCATTCACCCAAAAAAAACCAATTGTGGTTTGTCTGTGTGTCTTTTTAATAAAAATTAAATTAGTGCTTACCTAATGCCTTCATGTACAGTCACTCTCATGTCAATTCATACTAACTGAAATCTTTGTGATTTCACAGAATATTTCAGTTATGTGGATGCACAAATTAATAGGGAACAGAAAGAAGTATGCCATATATACAAAAGTTTTTAAAAGATTGGTACATTTACCTTGCAGTTTAGATTGTACTGTTTTCATCTCTTTGGTTTGCTTTTGGTTGATCAAGCGAAGGTTCTGATTTTCCACCTCTAACTAAAAGCATATAAATGTAATCTCATCCATCAGTGAAACAATTTTTAAAGTCATTACATCATTTAGATTTTCTCTGAATTTCTACCTATCCAAGGATAAAGCTAGTTCAAATGGCAAGCTCCTCTCTGCTACTTCTCTTAATGCCAGTCTAGGCATTAGTTTATTCTGAACAAAGAAATTCCCTGCAATGATAATTTGCTCAACTTCTGTTAAAATCTTTCCCACAACCAAGCAAACCCAAGACTGCTTTAAGAAGCCTTAATAATTAAGAAAAAAGAAATCTGCATTGGCATTTTTAATAAAAGCGGAGGGCTAGAATTACCAACTTTTGTGCCACTTGGCACACCCAAGAGCAAGCAGAGGAATTACAGGGAATGATGCTGCTAATGCCTCCTACCATCCCACAACAAAGATTAAAAAAATAGGTACCGGAAAACTTTATACAGAGCAGAAGACCTTCTACAGGAAGAAAAACTCCAACAACCCATTGCTGTAGCCCACTGCCAGGAGGTAAAAGATGTTTGTTCAAACTCCTGCTCCAAATTAGGCAAAGAGAATATTTGAATCTGAGTATCCCATATCACAAGAGGGGACCCAGCAATTCCACTTGCCATTGGGTGACACCTAGCCACCTCTGTGAAACAAGCTTGAGATTCTCCATGTTTCAAACAAAGTTAATAGTTTGAGTCATATTTGATTTTGTCCAAACTGCTTCAAGATAATTTTAGCTAAACTTAATTGCATTTTTATTAAATTATTTCAAAAATTCCCCCTGCAGACTAACAGTAAATGTTAATTCTCGTTTCGTACTTTAAAAATAATAATTTAATTGTTTTTCAACTGGAGTGAGTATAATTTCCAGTTAACCACAACAGAGTAGGATTTTAACTTTTATGGGCAGCTTTAAATTTTATACACACAAGAAGGAGAAAGCACAGCTGCACACCAAAACTGGCAGCCTTAGGCGGGGCAAAGACAGAGAAACAAGGGAGACAACTGGTCTCTTCTGGGAATAGAGCCGGTGCCCCTGAACTATTCATGACTAAGAGGACTGTGGGCATTGGAAAATAAAAAATGATCAAGTCTTTTTTTCTGCCAGGCCCCAGCAGACTTGGTTGGCTTTCTGGGAATTATTCACAGTTTAGGCATCTGCTTGAGGAAGCTCAGTTTGCCAGCTAATCTCTCCCAATCAGTGGAGATAAGTACACCTTCCAGAGAGCAGTTCTGGGCCCTTCCTCCATAAAGAGGACCCAGATATACTAGCTGACCAAATTAGACATCAGAATTTAAGTGACATGGATACTCTGCCCTCTGTGCTGTTGTTTTAATTTTTACTCTTGCAAGCAAGTAACTATATAGATCAATGAAACTGGGAAGCTTTTTTTTTTTTTTTTACTATGGCACAAAGCCCTTTAACAGCCAAAAAGCCAGTCATACCACTATATTTTCTGTATAAGTACTGTACCAAGAGTTATACCTCATGGAGCTTGACTGTCACCCATTCTTTTATTTTAGCTGCTTTTTCTTCTATGATTTTTGCTTCTTGCAGTCTTATTTGCTTCTGGAAAAAAAATGACATAAGCATATTTTTCACTGAGTATCATAGTCTGTCTGAGCACTCTCTTCAGACACAAATCCTAAGATTGCTTGAAGTAATTCAGTCTCCTGGGCAATACATGGTGATTTTAAAAAAAATGATGAATAGGCCCTTCACAGAGGCTGCTGTTCCTCTTTCCTCTAGGAAAAAATGAAAGCTCTTCAGAGGAGACACTGAAGAGGAAGAACATCTTTCAGCTCTTAAAGGTTACATGCTCTTTCAAAGGAAGCCAGAGCATAATTTGCAAGGGAACAAACCTCCTTCAAATGATACATTTCTAATGAGAACCTCTTTAATCAAACAACAGAAATAATGCTAAACTTTTCTGTCCTCTATTGATCTTAATTTTTATTTTCCTTTTGTATGATTAAGAATGGAATTGATGCTCATCTTTTGTAACACCATTATTTCTAACCTGTTCTTCAAGTTGTTGCTCCAATTTTTGTATTATGTCATTTTTATCTTGAATCACGATCTCCAGATCTTGACATCTCTTATACAGCCTGGTCTCTGATTCGCTCGTTTGAACATTAGCTGCTTTTAATTTTTCTTCCATGACCTGCACCTATTTGGAAGGTCAAACGTAAGACTTTAAGAAACATAATACTCCGAGTTAACGGTAGTAATTTAATCACAAAGTGGACTGCTAAAATTGCCCCCATACTTGAGATTCAAGATAACCCTGCAAAGTTCTGAAGCCTGTTTGAGAAGAAATTCCACAGTTTGTTATGTCTCCCTATGCATCTAATACCAACAGGACTGGCAAAACACTTATAGACCTTACACAGATTTTTGTTAGTATTAGAGAGAGGCTTCTAGGTGTTTAACACACAAGCTGTTAGAAACACCAATATGAGAAGAATGCCATTTATGTATAGAGAGCTGTTGTTAGGCTTAATAAAAAACGTTTTAACAAATAAACAATTGTACAGTGTAAAAAACCACAACAAATTATCAGAAGCATTCTAAAAAATGGCTAAAAAGTACTTGGCTTGTAGTCAGGAACGTTTTCTAACTCCAAATTAGTACATGAACATTCTTCTTCTTACAATTTTCAGTTTCTATCTGTCTCACAGTAAGATACAAACGATTTTTAGGGAATACCAGAGATATGTTCATGAAATGTCTGCAGGAGCTATATCTGCCATTTGGAATCAAAAGGCAACTTCGCTTAAATATTTAGCCACGATCTCATTGTTTAGATGATGTAACTTCTACAAGAACAAACAACATAGAATAATCCTATTTAGAGACTGTATTGGATAGCCTCGTTTTGTTTTCTTAGAGATTTTCTAAAATAGATCACTGTTTCCTCTCCCCTTTGTTTCCATGTGCATTATATATCAAAGACTCATGATGCATCAATGAAGCAGCTCGTTACATGCATCTATTTTTGATTCGTGCTGTTAGCTTTGACTTTATTGAACGGAACTGGATAGTGAGCAGAGAAAGGTATTAGAACATCGCTGGTAAGACAAATCATTAGATGTAAAAATAAACTGTCTTCTCCCTTTTCCGCAATACTTAAGAAAAATACCAATTCTCTGTATTTCCCTTCATTACAGTAACATGCACATAGCTAGTGGAGATATTTTTCAATTTTTATATATACCTGCTGAAAAGCTCTCTCTGCTTGACGATCAGCGTCTATAACTTGTTTCTCGAGCTGCTGCATCTGTAGATACATAAAAACATATAGTAAAATGGCCATGCCTTCTGCCCGTCGCCAGAAATACCACAGTGAAACATATTTTCATGGCCTGTTTTGAAAAAGGAAAAGACAGGTTGTGGGCAGGAGCATAAAAATAAATAGAAGGATAAACAGTGTGTCAGACTGGGAAGATAATTCATCATTATGACAGTATTAAAACATTGTTAAGGGTCTTCTACAGAAAAAAAAGTTAATACAACTTTTCTTCATAGTACAATTTTGTGGCTGCTATATGACATACTGCTTTTTTCCCCTGCTACCAAGAGTAGAAATTCCTTTGACAATAGCCCTGAAACTCTCCTCATGCAGGCACAGTCTTAGAAAGTGCTAAGCCTCCTTCATGTCCTTCCAAAACTGGCAAGAGTAAAGGGTACTTGGCACATTATATAATTTGGCCGCTAATTCTTCTGAAGTTGACGAATTTAGCTTTTGGGAGGATTGTGCTATGAGGCCTGTCCCAGACTCCTCCACCCTCAGCACGAATGAAGGAGGTATGTGGCAGAAGAGACATGGTGGATTCAGGTGCTACACAGAAAAAAAATGTGAAAAGCCACAGTAGAAATGGATAAAGACAGAGACCAGCACATCATGAGGAGTGAGTGCAGGTCCCTTTTGAGAGGTCAGAGACCCTGATCCATTATGTTATCACGATGCCTAATAAATCACATGCTCAACCTTTGCCCCAGGCCTCAGAAACCCCCTGCATTTTACATGATTTATTTTGAAGGCTTTTCCAACAATGTGGAACAGAGGAGGCCAGAAAAAAACTTTTTAAAAACATTTTGTGACATTTGGTAAGAGTGTTCTAGTCTGATTTTGGTGGAAAATACAATTATGAATTCTTTAAAAAGTAAACTGAGGTTTGAAATCATACTAGAAAGTACCTAAGGAAATTAATATATTATTTCGTAACTTAAGCACTTATTGGTTTTCAGGAAATACCTAGGTAAGACCTCCATTCATCTGAAGAGGATGAAACATCAAATACTGACCACTGGGATGCTGAATATTCAGCTTCAAAATTGTTCATAGAAAAGCATATGATACAAATAATGCAAATGAAAATAATTTATTCCTTCTGCAGTTTACTGCTTGGTTTTAAAATAATCAGTTTCATTCTGTCCTGTTTGTACTCGATTTCTGGTGTCTTTCAGTTTCTTTTTCTCTGTCTTTTTTTTCCTCTCCCCAATTATGTTGTCAATCATATGAAACGGGTTTGCGTACTTTTAGCACCTCATCCAGACAAGGACACCGAGTCATCATTTTCTATCAATCAAAAACTGAAAACGGAGAAAATGAGTTTTCACTTATGTAAAAAAAAAGCTGTGACTGACCTTCTAGTACTTTCTCATATGATATAAAACCCTGAAGTCTACATCATAATACCACAACACACTGTTGATACGAGCGTGACAAACATTTCACAATACACATGGTTATGGTCAGGTCCCCAGTGAGTTGTTCTGCAAGAACAGTTCTAAGGAAATGATCGTCCCAGTCATTCATGTACTAACAGTCTGGACAGACAGACAAGGAGGAGATGAACATTTGTTGTTCCTCTCTGGTCACATGTATTTAATTTTATATTTGTACAACTTCATGTTGAGATTTTAATTTTTGAGTTTACTTTTTAGAATTTTGAATTCTAAAGTTACGTTCCATCTGTCTTTCTGGTTTTATGTTCAAATAGAAGTCTGATTTACAAGATTCACTTTAATATCATTTTTAAGACATTTCTTTTTTAGTGAGTTGGGGATTCAGAAATCAAGGTTATTTCTGAGTATACGGTCAGCTACCATTCCACTGTAGTAAAAGCACTGTGCTAAACCAAGTAAAAGTGCAGCTATTATATCGATAATGAACATTGTTAATACTCTATAATATTTTGACAGAAAACTCCTTCAGATATTTATAATGTGAAATTCACTGTTGATGATTATCAAGTTGCTTATCAGTTTTCACAGTCAAACAATTTGTAAATGCACGTGATTGCCATGGCAGTAATTGGCAATTTATTTATGCCCCATAAGTGAAATTCAGTTCAGCTGTAAGGTCGTATCAGAAACCTGGCAGATTTAATAAACAAGCAAAACCTGAAAATGCTGCTTGCCAGGTCCACATAGCTGCCAGTGCAGCTCAACTAGCTCTGACTTGGCTCTGTCGTGGTTTAGCTCCAGCCAGCAACTAAGCACCACGCAGCCACTTTCCCTATCTTGATACATACACACAGATATCATTCCCTTCGTCTATGGCCCATCCCTCTAAAATGTCCATTGAGTTCATTTAGCCCATGACTTTGGGTTCCATCTGTCATCACAGTCTTTCAGAGCAGGAGAGGTGGTGTGCACTGTTGGATTGTTGCATGCTGAAGGCAGTTCTCATTCCAACACGGTTTCATCAAAGTTCATTTTATTGCTAAAAATTGGATCTCCTGTGCAGGTAGTACCCGAAGTACAGTAGTGACTTCTGTATGAAACCCAAATACCAAAGAATGCTCATGGTCTGGGTTTTGATAAGGAGCCTCCCAAGCAAAAGATCATGAATCAAGGAGAGCACACTGCACCAACAACAAGCTTTAACATGTACTGCAAAAAAAAGAAACCTGAAAACAACTAGTCCCTCTAGCAGTATCTAATGACCACTGAACCACTGCACAAGCATTAAGCAGTAATGCTGCTCTTCTACACAACAATTTGAGTTCTGGATAACACAGTGCACTACAGACCTAGGTTCCTTCCGTGTTTCTGCACTGAAACCGTACACTGCACCTCTTGCTAGGAATACATACTGTTGCATAAAACCAGGAACATAATATGTTCATGTAGACTACTGGGACAAAGAATACAATTTGAATAAAGCTGTTGCTAAGATGAATGTAAAGCTAGGAGCCAAAGGAGCTGAGAGAATAATTACCAAGAAAAATAGCAATCAGAGATTGAAAACGGAAGTACAAGGTTTATTTTTGCTTCTGTAAGAGTTAACTATTTCAAGAAGGTATGCTGAGAAGCTTTGGGTGATCTCACAGTACGGATACGTCAGTCAGCTTCCTGGCAACAACTAAATGTGAGATTTTATTTGGAAAATTTCTAAAGGGTCTTCAATTTATTTTAGGAGGCTCCTGTTAAAAAAAGAAGCAAGCTGTATTATTCAGCAAGAATGGAATACCATAGTTACCAAACACGAGCACTTCTATTACAGCTAAATTGGCCAGCATTTCAATAAGTTGATGCCATATAGCAATTAATAGGTCCTGATTTTCCGTTTATTTAGTTTATATAAGTTTGTTTTGCAGTGTCTGTTGTAACAATAATGAAACTTAAAAAATATCTTTTTTTTTCCCATTTGCATAAATAATCTCTAACCAATCCACAAAATGGTTTTGCCTGAAAAATTAGATTTACTCCTATACTCTGACTGCTTTGCTACTCTATAGGCATGTGAAGTTAAAAGAGAAAAATTGATTGCTTTAGGATACTCTGAAGGTTATCAAACTTGCTGGGCAAAAGAATGTAACTAGTTCTAAGGGAAGGATTTCTCTTCACAACGAAAACCTAACCTTAAACCTTCTTCTTAAGTTAGCAAGTGGCTTCATAGAAATGATCACAGCATTACTGAGAGAGAGAGAGAGGAGAGAGAGAAGGTGAAAATATGTGACTGGACTAATAGCTAATTGTCTAAATCAAAAGTCATACTTTGAACTCCTCAAGAACAAAATGCAATGGTAAATTCTCTTTGCCCAGTGACTATGAAGACAATTTCAGACCATGGATAGATAGCTTAAGATCCTCAAATTATAAAAAAAAAGAAGGTAAATGATACCTAAACTTAACCTCATGATGGAAGTGGCAGGTAACTTTAGCCATATCCACATCTGGAGCCAAATGTCAGTGTGCTTTACAGACACAGAAGAAAGAACTCTTACCTATGGCTGCAACTTGATGAACAGCTCTGACTTTATACAGAAAGTGATCTGAACAACAGGAAAGTCTGTTGAATTAGACCTCTGTCCCACCAGCTTCTGTCTGTATACATCTATGCAAATCACCAGTATCACTGGAATTAAATGGTATGTATCAGCTGTTAGGCTTGTGTCCTGGTTTTGGCTGGGATAGAGTTAATTTTCT